TAGTTTCACACAACTGAAATTGGGAAAAGTTACAAGTCTGGTAAAATCATAGCCTATCAGTGTTTGCTGGAGACACCCTCCCCAGTTATTTTATTGATTCTCTGAAGAACAGACTGAGATAAAGTGGTGAAATTTAAGGTAGAAAATACAGCATGCATAGCCTCTAGGAACTGGAAGGCCAACCCTGCAAATAGGTAAGATAGAGCAGACAATGGGGTGTTACTGAGGTCCTCAGAGGAGTGTCATTTTTGGACCACTAATTTGACTTCACAGGCTCCTTATCCGTTTTACCGGGAAGCTCCTTTTCCAGTACCCAGTCGTTTTACAGATGTCATATTTCCCCAAAAGTTAAATACCTAACTACCATGTGTCTCAGTCATTCTACGCCTAGGTAGTTACCTAAGAGAAATTAAAGTATATGCCCATACAAGACTTATATACAAATGTTCATAGTAGCTTTATTTTTAAGAGCCAGGCCAGGCGTGGTGACTCACACCTGTAATTCCAGCACTTTGGGAGGCCAAGGAGGGCTAATCACTTGAGGTCAGGAGTTTGTGACCAGCCTGGTCAACATCACAAAACCCCATCTCCACTAAAAATACAAAAATTAGTCAGGTGTGGTGGCATGCATCTGTAATCTCAGCTACTTGAGAGGCTGAGGAAGGAGAATCGCATGAACCTGGGCAGCGGAGGTTGCAGTGAGCTGAGATTGCACTGGTGCACTCCAGTCTGAGCAACAGAGTGAGACTTGGTCTCAAAAAAAAAAAAAAAAAAAAAAAACCAACACCTGGAAACAACATGAATGCCTGTCATGCCTATCAACAGGTGAATGGATAAACAAATTGTGTATGTCCATACAATATCCATACAATAGAACACTCAGCAATACAAAGGAGCAAACCTTTGATAAATCCAACAATATGGATGAATCTTCCAATAATCATGCTGACTTAAAGAAGCCCACACAGAAAAGTTTACAGTATATGATCCTGATTATATAAAATTTTTGAAAATGCATACTAGTGACAGACGGATTGATTACAACAGGCCACGAGGAAACGTTAGGAAGTGATGGTAATAGGTAGGTCATTGCCGTGATGGTTTCATGAGTATATACATGTGTCAAAAGTCACCAAATTGAGCATTTTATGTATGCTCAGTCAATTATACCTCAATAAATCTTTTTTGTAAAGCCCAAGGTCATCAGGCCCATAAGTAGCATTTCCACCACAGGGCTCTCTATCAGCTCCATGGGTGATTCAATCAAGTGTTCTCAATGGGAAGTATCCAAATATATAAAGAGCACCCAATGTTAAAATGCCAGCAAAATGCAGATGTCCCACATTTCAGTATAAATCTTTCCTCTTACCAAACTCCTGGGGAGAAAATTAAGTCTATATATTAAGTTACCTTTCAAGTTAATGTCCAAAGACCAAGATAATCAAAACCCAGAATCCAATTCTCTCACTGTAATAAGGTAAAAGTATCACAAAATGAAAGTCCTTCCCAGTTTCTTATTGTGTTCACTCACAGGCAGAAATGTCCTTAATGCCTTTGAGGATTCCTTCAGCAACTGCAGCCTGGGGGTCTCTTTTTGGATACGGATACAACACATTCATTCGTCACTTCAAAAGTTAAATTAATTCAACAACTCTGTGGTGTGCCTCAACTTACAAAAGGTCTGGAGAGTTAATAAAATACCCAAGATAATTACAATACTTGCCTTATACCCACCAAATTTAAAAGGCAGTTATCCTGTACAAAATTATGCTCCCAGAATCCAGTAGTATTTATTGCCAAAGACTACATATAGCAGAAACTGTATAGCAGGAACTCATGAATCTGTAGGAAGGAGGATAACCGGTGATGGCTTTAACCTCATCAGAATGCCAGTCACATGAGCTGCACACTTAAACTAAGTTTGAAGAAATTTGTCAGCAAGAAGTTAACCTTTTCACCATGCATTTAGCATGGCGCTCTGTATCTTCTCTTTCAGAAAGTGACATTTGAAACACTGATGCTATCTTACAAAGTATAGAATTTGGTGTGGTGCAGTCCCAATCAACAAGTCAAAGGAGACCTGATCTTTTCCCAGTATGTTCAAATATCTTCAGATTCAAAATTTTCTTTTTCACACTGCATTTCAATGACTCTCGGAACAATTTAGACCTTGAGCTTTTCTAGAACTCTATATTGCAACCAAGGCAATCTGCCTTTAAGTTTAAAAGTAGCAAATACTTAGTCATTAACATCTATCATAGTTATGAATATTTCTTCTTGTATCATTAAATCCTTGCCTCAAATAAAATTGTTTTCTGGTGTCTTATCAGGATCTGATGAGGCCCTTGCTGCTCACACATGTGTATTTAATGTAGGCCAAGGTCAAGCTGCGGTAGCCTGCACGAGCCCACTTGCACATGCCAGTGCCTTTGTTGATGCCAGCATCACTAGAGCAGCTTGCTAAGCCTCACCTTGGACTGGCATCTGGTGAGGACATCCATGAGGCCAGCGTTTGGGTGAGCCCCGCTTCCACATTCTCTGTCTTTGCTGAAGCCAGTGTGTCTCTCCATCAGCCTTACTCAAACTCTGCTTCATTGAGGCCTAGGCATATGTGCTTAAAGCCCAGTATTGCACGTTATCTCTATAGAAATTACCAATTTCTCTGGACAAAGATACCCTAAACTTTTAGGTCAAAATCCCATGTGCCTTGAGTCTTAAAGCCTCTTGCCAAAACTGCAGCAACTAAAAGCCTACTTCACACTTACAAAATCAAATTAATAGCCCTAATAGAAGCCTCTACAAACTACCAAGATCAAAGCTCCCTATGTATACATTAAGGTCTGAAACCAGAAACCATAAGCTATGACCACAATTAAGCCTCTCTACTTCTATGTTGTGCTCCTTCAAATTTTATTCGTTTTATTTCTTGATGCACTAACCCATACAGCACAAATTTCTAGATATATTTTCCAAAACAGGCCTCTTCCCTGCTATGTCCATCCCCCTTCTAACATTCATCAATTTCCTCACTTATGGTATGAGAATAGTAATTAAGCGTACATGCACTCTGCTGACAGCCCAGGTCCTCCTCCCAGACATCATTTATTACTTTACCTCCCCTAGGTGGAACAAGTGGTACAAGAAGTAAAGATACCATGAGTGTTAGGATGATGTTGTCTTCTCCACATGGAAGGAAATAGGGAACTGAGAGGAAGTATTACCCCCATCAATAATAATATACACATTCTTTGTAACTATTTATTAGATATTTAAATAATAGCAAGCTTGCTTCCCTTTGTAACTTTCCTCAAGTTATTTCACTTCTAATCCTTTTAATCTTGAAGGCTTTCCTCAAATGCTATTGCACACATACAACTTTCTCTAATTTCTTAAACCAAACAAAACCTCTTTCTTCTCTGAGGCCCTGGTCCAACATTTTTGAAGTGTGGCGAGGAGCAACCACAGTAGAATCACTGGGGTTGCCTGTTAAAACATTCATTACTAAGCCCATCTACAGTATCCAAATTCCTTAGTGTAGGGTTCTCAAACATGCCTCTTAAGAAGCCTATAGGCCAGGCACAGTGGCTCACACCTATAATCTCAGCACTTTGTGTGGCCACGGTTGAGCCAGGAGGATCCCTGAGGCCAGTTCAAAACCAGTCCAGGCAAGGCTGAACATGGCAAGACCTCACCTCTACAGAAAATGTTAGCCAGGTATAGGCACACACGTAGTCCCAGCTACTCATGAAGCTGAGCAGCATCACTTGAGCCCAGGAGTTCGAGGGTGCAGTGAGCCATGATCACAGCACTGCAGTCCAGCCTGGGCAGGAGACTGTCCCCTACTAGGGGGGAAAAAAAAAAGCTTCCTGGGTGCTTCATTGACACACTAAAATCTGAACCTTTTGCTTTATCTGATTGTCACTGATTATTTTTTCCCCTATTATATCATTACTTGGCATTTATTCCTCTATAAGAACTTTGGAATTTTTTTTTTAAGAGTAACTCCTTAACATAAGCCTTGCATGAAGCTGTTTAACAAAGTTGTTAAAATGAACATAACTTGACTTTTACTTGTCTCTCAAAAGGACTAGATCTCCATGTTTTGTCATGATTAAGTGTCTAGAAGTGAAAATGCACAAAAATTATAAAGCAATTTACTGAAATAATTTATCCTGCATCATGATGTACTGTCTTCACCAATGTAGCCAATTTAGGCTTTCTGGGCTGTTTATTTCAAATGTAATATAGTGCAATGCAAATTTCACCAATGTAGCCAAATTTAGGCTTTCTGGGCTGTTTATTTTAAATGTAATGTAGTGCAATGCAAATTTCTAAAGCATTGCTTTTCTATGCAACGAAGAGTAAGCTGTGTTATCTAAGCACTTTCTACCAATCTTTAAATGCAGAATAAATTAGTAGACTGCAAGAGCTCCCTAAAATCTTAATGCAATTTCAGACTGTATTTGCTATCATTCATAAAATTTTATTATTCAATATTTGGCAAGTATTATTGGTCAATCCTTTTTGCTTACAATGACTATATACATAGTCAAGGCTTTCTCATTCTGCTGCAATTCGCAAAGCACGAGCAGCAGTTATCCCAGTGGTTTACCTTAGCTCACAAGGGTACCAACAAGGGAGACACAGATAATGTTCAACTTAAAGTATAGGGTCCTTAGGAAATGGAAAGCTTAATTCTTGCTGTGACACTGTGGGGTTTCCATCATTATTTAAAATACCTTACACTAACAAGCCATGTACTTCCATTTAAGGGAATGCTTATAAATATCAGACTCTGAGTTCACTGCTTTATCAAGGTCGCTTTGTTATATGGTGAGGGCAGTTTATTTCAGCACCCATCATCCTATAACATGTACTTAATTTAAAATAAATAAAACGTCCAAGGGGAGTCTTTGCCTCATCATTAAAATAAACTTTAAAACCACGTAACTGTTTATTAAATTGAAACATTTCATTGAAATACTTCATTGATAGCTCTGATTCCTTATTTTTTAAAAATTTTATTTCATATAAGTCTCACATGGTACAAAAGTATTACATGCTTGGACCTGTCTTGCAAATAGGAGGTTCTCTCAGTTCTTCAGGCCAACCTTCCTTCAGAGGCAAATAAAGAAGAAACATATGTAGAACATATTTAGAAAATTTTTTACCATAATAAAAATATGTGAACATCTTATACTTAGCATTTAGCAATCCAGTTTATGTTGGCAAATTTAGTTCACTGCAGAGAGGCACTTGTCATAGAAGAACCTAACAGGCAGTAGCTATTTTAACCTGTAAGAACAAAATGTTTAACTTTTTTCCTGTATTTTTTGAAGAAGGTACTCCATTTGTACATTCAAGTTTGGTTGGCCCTTTTTAGTCTTTTTGTTCAATATTTTAAATACTTCCATTTTCTTTTTTTTGTACTGCCTTTGGGCTTCTTCTCTCTCCTGTTTTCTCCTCTCGAATTCCTAAAATTATTAACATATGTAACTTTCATTAGCAACAAATAGCAGATACAGTTCAGAAATTGTTTTGAAATAGCTACTACTAAGCAAACACTCTAAGGTTTGTCTATTTTGCAAGATGGGCACTGTTTCTCCTAATTGAAGCAAAGTACCCTCTTTGCCTTCACATTATAACAACACATGGTATAACAGAGAATTTTCATGATCACAAAGTCCCAGTTTTATATAAAGAAAATTTTAAAAGGACACTAAATGTTTTACAGCATAATGATCATTACTGCACTTCATCTGATATACTATTTCCAAAGGTGGCAGATGGTTAGAAAAAAGCATAAAGCTGTGCTAGTTAATACTGGTCCAGTATTCCCATGGAGAAATTCTCCTGCTTTCTCCTAATCTGCCACCAGCTTAAGAACAATGAAAACATTTTAGATTTTAAGAACTCTTAATTACAGATATTCTAAAGCAAAAACAAGCAAAATTACGTATCATCTTTGAGGTATTTTTGACCGACACATTATCCTTTTAAAAGCTACAGATTAATAAAACTTCAATGCAAAAACAAGAACTACCACAGTTGCAACAAAATGACAATCTTGTTGAGGCTGTGGGTAATTTTATATTCATTTGAAAAAAGTCTAATTCTGGTCTACAATTCTGGTTTTCTAAATGATAACAGAGTGTGAACTTTTGCTAAGCTAAAATAGTTCTTTGTTTTTATAGGCAAGAACAACTCTTTATAGTAAAGAAGTATTTTATTCTAACACCTCCCCTTTTGCTTTCACTTGCTTCAATGTAATGTTATGAAAATCATCTGTATTTTTCTTATGTCAGTGGTTTTCAAGTTTTATTATACATAAAAAACATCTTTTGAGGTGCTTGTTAATAGGCGCAAGTTACTGGACCATACTCAGAGAAACTTTGTCCAAGATGTTCACAATATTAACCTATAAACAATGTGTTCAAAATCCTATTTTTGACCTACTAGCATTGCTTGAGACAATACAAGCAAGGAACTGGAATAAGAGGCAATCCTCCACCTTTGCTCAAACCACTCATTCATTCAACAGATATTTACAGAGACAATACTGTGTGCCCAGTACCAAGAAGAAAACAGGTGTAGCATGCATACTTAGAATAAATAAGAACTATACTAAATATTTTTAAAGTAGAAACTTACTTGTTTCTTAGCAGCACGTTTAGCTTGTACCTGTTCATACTCTTCTTGTGCTTTCTGATTCGATGTTTTCTTTTTATTTTTCTTTGGAATTGTAAAGTAGCTTTTAATTGGGGGATGAAAAAACATTATTATATATAGTAGACTTTATTAGTAAAATGTCTGAAAAGGTTTTAAAACCACAGCTGTAGCTTATACATTAAAAGGCACAAATGGGGATTCTTAGAGAAATATTTCAACTAGTAAAAACTACAGAAAGCTATGAAAGATCCTAAAATCTTAAAAAAAAAAAAAAAAAAAAAAAAAGCTTTTAAAACAAATCAGTATATGAATGACAGAAATGCCAGACTGAAAAAAGAATTAAACTTGTTTTCTAAGGATGTTAAGAAAATTATGTGTATATATGAACTTTAATCTCGAAGTTTTCTGACCTCCTCCTCTCTATTCTATCTACTTTGTCATGAATCACCGTATCTTGGACCTAGACACCATTTTGAACTGTTCTATCTTTAAGTACTTCTCACCTCTCTGAAGGTGTCCCTTTTGCCAAGGCTAATCCAGCTACTTGGAATTCCATCCATTTTCTCAGTATCCTTGATTCAGTAATAACTTTCTTTTCCTCTCTCATTCAACTTTTCACTATACTCTGTAACTACAATATAATACTTTAATAGCTACCTCCTTAAACAAATAAATTACACATTATCACACTTTATGTTCCCTTCTAACTACCAATTTTGTTTCCTGACCTTTCGTAGTCAAGTTTCTAGAAAGAATACTGATTAGACTATGATTGTCACTTCTCATTCACTCCTTGATTTTTTGATATCTGATTTCTGCTTCTCATCACTCTAATCAAACTGCCCATGCCAAGACAGTGATGACCTTCTAGCCAAATATGATGATCAATGGAAACTCTTCAGTCTTTTTTAATGGGCTACTAACTTTACTCCTAAATTCCACTCCCTTAGTGTAAGGCACATTGTTTTCTCCTGATCCTTTCTAATTGTTCCTTCTTACTCTGTCAAGCTAGAGCCTCTTTTGTCCTCCTCACTGCAGAGTTTTTTCCCCCAACGTGTTTCTCTTCTTAGTCTCCATACTCTATTTGTGCTTAGGCTGTCAGATATATGACCATGACTTCAGATGCGACATGTATGTATGGCTGAAAGGTTAATCAGGGCTATCTACTGAAAGTCTCTCCAAAGTCACAAGTGACTGCCTAGTTCACAAATCCAGAGACCTGTTCTCAGACCTATTCACCTTAAACTTTATAGTACAGTAGCACAACCCTTATCCATGGTTTCCCCATGCCACGGATTCAGTTACCCGCAGTCAACAGAGGTCCAAAAACATTAAATTGAAAAATTCCAGAAATAAAACAATTCATATGTTTTAAACTGTAAACCATTCTGAGTGTTTGCTTAAAGTGAAAAAGTTCTTGACTTAATAAGGAAAGAAAAAAATCATATGCTGAAGTTGCTAAGACCTGATTTAAAAACAAAACAAAAAACTTCTATACATCAAATTGTGAAGGAAAAAGAAATTCATGCTAGCTTTTCTGTCACACTTCAAACTGCAAAAGTTATAGCCACAGTGCATGATTTAAGATGGAAAACGCATTAAATTCCCAAGTAAAGGACATTAACAGAAATATATTCCAATTGACAGAAACTGGGTTTGGTTCCATTTGCAGTTTCAGGGCATTCACTGGGGGTCTTGGAACATTTTCCAAACAGGTTACAGGGGACCACAATATTTGACAACTACATATCATAACTTTTCTCTGTGGACTTAGCTGTCACTGTATTTCTCTCTTTCTCCAGTTCCAAAAAGCTTAACTTCTTCAATGACATTTTCCCTGTTTCCACCTCAAAATAAACCATAATTTTTAAAAGCATGATTTTTTACCTTCCTTTCTAAGGATTTAAACTTCCTTAAATTATCAGAAAATAAGTCAAATCTACATTTCTAGTGCTAATCTTTTCCCTGGGCTTTATACTGATTATTTAACAATATAATGATTAAGCCTACCAAAAGAAGTAAACTTCTTGTGTCTCTGCCTTCATCCCCAATTACATTTTCCCCTCCGTGGTCCCATTTCCTGTTATATTTAGCGGAAATAGCTCACAACTTTAAAAGATACAGTTTTAATGAAGTAAAAAATCATACTCCCAAGTTAACACCCAGCTTCTTGCAATTTTAGATTTTAGCATTGTTTTTTAACTTGAAGTATGTGCAGTGATAGTTTTTTCATAAATTAACTCTTATAAAACCAAAGTGTCATGGAGCTGTTTGTGCATGTGTAACTGCAACCCGTTTCTGGTCCTCTGCAGAATATCCAGATTAATAGTAGTAGCTAACACTCAAGAGCACTAACCACGTATCACATATACCCTTTAAGATCCTCACATACACATTAACTCACGGAGTCTTCACAACAATGCCATGAAACACCTTACAGACACCTGAGTTTAAGTGAGTAAGCCATTCTGGAGCTGTGCAACATGGCAGCTCTGAAGTATATATTAATTGCAGTATTATTTTTCCCAATTTAAAGAGGACACAGTGTTATTTTCCCCATTTTAGAGAAGACGTCACTGGGGCACTAACATGTTAAAAAGTCCGGCTCTAGAACCCATACTGTTAATGACTAAAATTATAACACCTTTCAGAAGTTATTTTTCAAAAATATTATCAAGTACAAGTTACCACCTGTACCTAAGAGGAAGAAACCCAAATTCCAAACCTCTTAATTCCCATTACAATGTCAATAAAGCTAAACCAGCCTAATTCAGTTATCGAAGCTAAAAATCGAGTCTCCATGAAAATGTTTCCCTAATTAAACTGTGACTTCTAAAATGTGTTAAATAAGAAAAAAATCCAATTCCTATATAAATTATCCGATAGCACTTTTAAATAATAAAACACCACTTAAAGGATTTCAAACGAAGAAAATACATACTTTACTGTTTTACTACATTGTTCCTCTGGCTGAGGCAGGTCAAAGCTACACTGATCTTCAAACAAAGCCTGGTCAATGCTACACTGTTCTTCAAGCAAAGGCTGGTGAACTTGTTCTGACAAAAGATGGTCAACTTTTCTTGGTTGCTTCCTAAGTCTTTCCTCTTCAGCTAAATAGAGATGTTTCAGATTATCTGGGTATCGATCTGTGAATTGAGATTCCAGTGACGTTTTAACCTTCTTTTCCTTCCGCAGCAATTTCTTGTAACTTTGCTGTATTCTCAGTTTTCTTCGAAAGGCAAAGCCTTGTCCTACATTGAGGAATATCATCGAAAATTACTTTCAGAGAAAAGAAGTTGTTGAGCAAAGAATGAAGCTGTTAATTACAAAAGAAAATCTTTCTTTTTTACGTCATCACATTCAGATTCTAGCATTATGTTTTGCTTTAAAACATTATTTCAAGCAACAAATTTAAGCTGATGGATTGCACAGCAAGTTGGCCCTTTGCAAAAAGACCAGGCCAACAGTCGTGCACAAATCCAAGTAAGAATCTCAAAGAAAAACTGACCAGTTCCGACGGTTGCACAAATTGAGTTTATAGCTGTATTCACAAATCAAAACAAATTTCTTACTTCATCTAAAACACTTAATCTGGGCCTTCAATAAATACTTAAAAAATAGAAAAGAAAATGCCCCATCTAGTGTCTTATCTTGGACAAACTATTATATACGTTTTCGAAAATATTTCAACACGAAAGAAAAAGACAGTGTATGGTTGTCTGAAAAGCTAGCAATTATCAGAAGACTGACTTTAACATTTATATATTCCAAGTGGGATCTGAGGGACCTTACAGACAGTAATACAAAAGGACAAACACAAATTAAAGCGAAGGTTGGAGGGCCTCGGGTATGGATTCGGAGCAGTATGTTTCTGCCCGACCTCCTCTCTACCCTTTACCTTACTACATGCGCAAAAGTTCACAGGGCCATAGACTCTCCTCAGTTTCTCAGGAAAAAAGTTCTGATGAAATACAGGGTTACGTCAGGAAACACGTTTAAATAATTAAAGTTAGCAACACTGCTCCGTCTTCCTATCTAGAGCTCTGCGAAGCTCACAGCTTCAACAGGCTCAGGAATGATTTCCCCTGCTCCAAGTAGGACCGGGTCTGGTTCCTAAATCCTTCTTCCAAGCTTCAGCGGGTCTTGTATTTTAAGACTTAGCAAGCTCGAGGACCGGTAAACGGTTGCCTTCTTACATACCCTCGCGAACGCTCCCCACGAAGGCTTGCGGATGGTTAGGCCGCCATGTCTTCTGTTTCACATTCTTATTCCTGGACTCGACCGCGGAAACCCCTTCAGCACGCGCCTCAAAACCATCAGGCCGCCACTTCGATGCCCGCCTCACCGGCGCCATTGCAGCCCACCAAATGCGTCACCAGACCACCACAACGGACGCCCACAAAGTACGTCACCAAGCCGAAGCAATCAATCGCTCAGAAGGAATCTGGCTCGGAGCTCTACTGAGCCTGCCTGTACTAATTTGGGCCGAGTTGGCGACTCACGGCCATGTTTGCGCCACCTACAGCCTGGGAGGGTGAGCGTCATGGCGGCTTCTTGCCCTCTCCCGGTGACCCCGGACCTGCCCACGCTGCGTGCCAAGTTGCAGGGACTTCTGCAGTTCCTGAGGGATGCCTTGTCCATTTCCAATGCACATACCGTGGATTTCTACACAGAATCCGTGTGGGAGGAGCTGGTCGACTTGACCCCGGAGACGGTGCTGGCTGCACTGAGGAAGTCAGCGTCGGAGGCGGAGGCCCGGCCCTCAGAGACGCGCCGCCTAGTGGAAGCAGAGGGGGAAGCAGGTGGGTGGGGGAGTAGGCGGGGCGGGGCGGGAAGGGAGGCGGAGGAGAAGGTCCTAGCCGGGGAAGCGAGCCCCCTGGTGGAAGCCCGTAGAACCAGGCGCGGTCGCGGCCGGGGGCGGGGCGGCCCTCTAGGAGGGGTCGGATTCGTTGAGGGGTGGGGCGGGGGTGTTCTTTGGAATCATCAGGATCACTCTTTCTTTGGGTTCTTGTATATTTCCACAATATAAAGAAAGCAGGAAACAGGGCGGGGGAGTTCATCTAGTAATTCCATAATAATTGATGCGAGGGAAAGTAGGGGAGCGGTGCTCTCACAGGTTTTACAAATTCTAGGTGGAATCTTCCAGCATGTGGTGGAAGATTACTCAACAGTTAATGAAGATAATTTCAAATGGTGGTAATGAAGTAGAAAATAAAAACAGTGTAATGTGGTAGGGATTGTGTAAGGAGGCTGCCCCAAGTTAGGAGGTCAGGAATATGAGAAGGCTTCAGCCTGCAGAGCTACAGGAAGGGGCTGTGGGCGGCGGAAACCACAGGCTACGCTTGGCTCTACCCAGGTGAGGGTCTGCGGGTGCAGGACGGGAGGCAAGCAGAGGCCAGATGGCGCAGGCCTTTCTAGGCCTTGGAAGGATTTTGGATTTTAAGTGTGATAGGAAACCTTTGGGGTTACTTAGGGAACATAGTGACCTAATTCACATTTGAAAAGATAACTGTGAATTATTTGAATAATAGACTGGTGGGGCAAAAACTTAAGCTGAGAGTCCAGTTAGGAGACTATCTCAGTAGTACAACAGATGATTGTATGTTGGACTAGGATGATATTCGAATATTCACTATTTCATTTAAAAACTATTTTAAAGTACCTAATGTATGTTATGAATGTTTGTAGGCTCGAGGTTTTCCTACTCTCGAGAAATGTAGATTCTTCTAAGGCAAGCATATTTTGGAAGCAGAATGATGGACACCAACAGGCTCCTGGGATTTTTACTTTCCTTCTCGGCTTCCTAAACTTACCCTCACTAGTGAACTTTATTCACTAAGCATTCTCTGAATGCAAAGCATCACTAGAGGGACCTCTTATACTAGCACTTGGTAAATACTGTTTTTTTTTTTTTTTTCTAATGTCATTGTTATTGAAAAGTTAGGCACTTCTTCAGTTTGATCTCATAATAAATGTATGGCACTTATGATAACATGACAATTTTACTTAAACTCCAAAAGAACAGAGTCTATGTCTGACTTGTCAATTGATGTATTCCCAGCACTTGGTAAAATACTTGGCATACCTTAGATACTGGATGACTGAAACAGATTTCCACTAGGGACTCACAAGGCGTATGATCTTCTGCTAATATTGTATGAGGAGTTACAAGTAAACATAATTCCCAGAGCTGCATGCACAGTTTGGAAAAGCACACTAACAGGTGTTCGACACAATCATTTGGTGTTTTATGGAAGAAATTTGTTTGTAAAAGTCCTCAGTGTATGGATTTCAGTACGTTTCATGTGCCAGGTGATCTTGTCTAGTTAGAGTCCTAAGAGTTTCTTCTTTGTTGTTCATATAAAAAAGAACTAAAATAAAAAATTTAATTCTCCAAAATAAAAAGGAAATATGTTAGAAATAACTGTCTTTTCAGGGCATAAATTATGGCTTTGCAGACAGACTACCTGGGTTCAAGTCCTGACCCCAACACTTATTAGCTGTGCTAACTTGGGCAATTTGCTTCAAGTCGTTTTGCGTTAGTTCCTCTTCTGGAGAAAGGGTGTAACTTTAGTACCTACCTGATGGGATACTGTGAAAGGTAATTCAGCTAATATATAGAAAGGGGTATATAGAACAGCAGATGCCCAGGCTGGAGCACGCTTGGTGCATTTTAAACATAGCAGAGCAGTCTTGGTGAGACTGGTGAGAGATGGCATTTGGAGGTGGCCCAGGACATCCTCACATAAAACTTGTAGGCTACACTCAGTACTTGGCTTTTATTCTGAGTGAAATGCAAAGCTCTGAGAATTTTGTGTGTTGATGTGATACAGGGTGATTTCTGTTTCAAAGTCTGGTTTCTGTGTGGAGAAGAGAAGGTAAGAAAGGTGAAGAAAGGTAAGGGAAGAAACAGGAATACAATATAAGAGGCTATTAAAATAGTCCAGGGATATTTCAAGGAACAGTAGCTTGAAGAAGTCAGATTCTCCTGCAAATAACAATGAGGAAAACTGGCCAGATTATTAAAAACAACTGTAAGATTCTGGGAAATGACCAAAGGCAGAAATATAAGAAGAGGTTACTATTGAAAGACTGCTACTGATTGGGTAGGGAGTCAGAGTTTATGGCTTTCTTGCTAGGGATGCTCCTAGCCCCTGTAGATCTAACAGTGGAATACCACATCCTTACCAGGTCAAGGTGGTGATGCCAAAATTCGGAAATCAGAACAGGTGCGGATTTAAGAGGTACATTCTGGAAACAGGAGAGATACAAAAGGTCTGAGATCTAAGATCTGAGTATGAACTCTGCCTGAATCCCTGAATGGTCTCTTATCTACACATGTCTGGGAGACCTGGAGATCCTAGCAGAAACACTGGCAAAAAATTTTTGAGAGGCAGAGCTTCCCATGGCTAGTGGTCTGCAAGTTTGCTGCACGTTTAACAGAGTGTATTCCCTAAAGTACACACAACTTGGGTGGGAAATATCAGAAGCCTTATTGAATTCTTGTATGAAAGGGCAAAATTCAAGTTTGGCAGAGCAACTGGAAATTTAGACTAGGAAGTCTTCAAATTGTAAACAGAGGAACCACAGAAAGAGTGAGCCTCAAAATCTGACTAGAAAATCTACCCAAATCTTTATCTGACTGCTAAACTCTGCAGGCTCAGGTATACCACCAGACAGTGGGTAAATAAAAAGCAACTTAGCAGAGACATCAGCGGCTGCACTCTGAAGGGGGATAGTTTTCACAGTTTGAGTCAAAGCAAGTTGACTTCCCACTATTAATAGAACCACCACCACCACAAATCCTTAGGAAAACAAAATAGATTTACAATAAATTATCTGCCATTCCACTTTTCAACTAAAAACAAACTAAATGTGCTCAAAAAAAAAAAAAAAAGGAAAATGTGACTCTAACTTAGGAAACTGATTCCAAGTAAGCCCTAATGCCGGATTTTAGTACCTATGATGAAAGAATTAAGGATAGTGTGACCCATATTTAGGAAAAAAAAGAGTAAGTCAATAAGTGCTGATCCTAATTGAGCTAAGATGTTGGATTTCAGTGGCTGCTATAAATAAGTTCAAAGAGCTCAAAGTTTATGCCCCTTTGAAATTGAAAAATACACACTCACTGACACACAATTGTATTAATGTTATGTATTATCTATTGCTGCATTACAAGTGGCTTAAACATATACTATCTCATCAGTTTCTGTGGGCCAGGAATTCAGGAGCAGATTAACTGGGTGGATCTGGTTTGGGATCTTATGAGGTCACAGTCAAGATGCTGGCTGGGGCTATAATTGCTGAAGGCTTGATTGAGGCTGAAATATTTGCCTCTATGATTATCTCATTCGCATAGATGGCCATAATATTTCATTCGCATAGGTGGCCATAATACCTCATTCACAGAGGTGGCTAGTTGGTGCAGGCTGTTGGCATGAGGTCTCAGTTTCATACCATGTGAACTTTTCCTATGGGGCTGCTTTTGTGGAAGCTTTTGTGTTTGCATGACATTCTGCTTTTGTCTGCACTCAGACATGATTATGAAGTTGACATGGTCACACATCTTGTCTGATGTTGGTATACTGAGAAATTGTTCATGTTTAGTAGGAAAGACTGTGGCCTACATGTTAGTTCAAAGTCAGTTATGAGCTGACATCTGTCTGTTACATCTGGGTTTTTTTCCTTCCGTTTTTTAAAAGTGGGGATAATATTACCTACCTTGTAGGACAGCAAAGATTAAAGATGATGTGTAGATAGCACCTAGCATAGAACTGAGAATATAGCATGGGTTTAATAAATTGTGGCTAATAAATGGTTATGATAATTGTGATGATGATGATTGCTAGTGATGGTATAATTAGGTGTTTACTTGGAAGAAATAAATTGTCAAGAGCTCCTGGAAGTTTATGTTCTAAACAAATATATTTTTTGCCATATTAACAAATAACATACTATTGTTATTGTCTGTTGACTTGTCTGTATCTGCAACTAAATTATAAACTATCAAAAAACAAATGTACCATGTTTGTCTTTTTCACTATTTTCAGCATCATAAAGTTTCTGTTTATAGCTGAGTAAATTAAATGATTCTTACATTAAAATTATTTAAATTGACAAATAAAAATTAAATATGTTTATTATGTACAACGTCATGTTTAAATAATTCTTGAAGAAAGAATGAAGTTGAACATAGATCTAATAAAGAGTCTTATTGAAGGCACTCCTTGCACATGTCTAGTACTCAACTAGACATGTATTATTTCTGGTTCATCCCTAAGTTATATTTATTATTATTGTGTATGATAAATATTAGTTACATGATGCAACTAATAGATTTTTAAATTTATTTGAAGAGACGCAAATCAATAACTGTTCTTTCCCTATTTGGAAATACAGTACATTCAGTACATTACAGATTACAATAAAATACCCTGGGAATTTGGAGATAAAATCAGAACAAGTGACACTTCACGTTAAAATGTCTAAAAGTTAGTATATAATGTAGATGAGATTAACCATCTGCGGCAAAAAAGCCAGTAGAGATAGCTTCTAAATATTTTGCTGATATAGAATAAATATGACCTGTATCTTATTTTGGAGATTAAGATTTCGTTATAACTCCTTCAAGGAAACCAGACTGTGTCCGTAGGCAGTAATGACTGCATGTGTAAATCTGTAACATTCTCAGCAGAATCATCATTGATCTTCAGAAATTAATTGTTGTTTAATGGAATCTAGAAAATTCTTCTGAAAAGCAAGAGGGGACAGATAGTCTAAGTCAGGATAGCCAAAATATTTT